AGGGTACAGCCGACTTTTGGATACCTAATACATATGAAAATTATTAGATGCGTAGTAATAATGGAACATTAAATTTTATTCAAAGACTTGAAAGCAGTGCGTTCGTGTTATATTTATTTAAATATCTTGTATGTAAGGAGAATGCTTGACATTCTGCAAATTTAGTTACTCTCTACAAATCTACAGCCAAGTTAAGGTCTTTTAGATATCAGGTACTTTTCGCAGCTTTATTAATATTCCAAGCAATAAGGAAGAGCCGGTGCGGCATTTTAGTAATATAAAGCAGTTCTTCTATCGTAAAGAATTTGACATATAAGTGTTATTTATATTTAATAAGAAATTTTCAAAGAGAATTTAACTAACAAATTATAAATCCATATACTTAGTGTGGCCACTTTTATTTCTAAATGTTTAAGTTAACAAGAGTAAAAATTAAATATAAGATGATCTTAAGAAACATTTTGTTTTGATAAGAATATGTAAAACAAATGTAACAATAAAAACACATGCACGTAAAACGAGGAAAAATAAAAATAAACAAAAATAATACAAGTAAGAACATTACGGTCGGGCAAGTTTCATTAATAAATACTCTATTCCACCTTGTCTAACACAATTCTTACTTTATAGAACACAAAAATTATATCTTGTTTGTATATAAAGGCACATTTTTCGTGTGCGAAGTTCTGGGGAAGCGGGCCCAAAACGCATTTTAATGTAGCACAAGTTTAAGCCTTACATAGGCCAGAATCCAAAAATAGGCATATATGATCCAAATTTTGTAGAGTTCATTTTTGGATGGTATTGCTATAACATTATAGATCAATTTTCATTGTAACATATTAAAACTTAGACTTTTCTGCTATACAAAGGATCGATTTTCGTAAAAATCCTTATTAGGGTAAGACCCAAAACTTGATCGTCATGGTCCAAATTTGGCACAGTTAATTTTCTTATGTCAAATTACTATTATGATATAATTTTCATCGTGAGGCATTGAAAATTCTGTATATTTTGTGGTACGAAGTTTTGTATCAATTTAGAATGCCGATATACTACAACTTACCCGCTTTTGCCGAGAAATTTGAAAAATTACAATTTATTTTCATATAACGATTTTTCAGAATAGGGCGTTCTATGGGGAGTGGTCGAAAAAGTGAACCGATCCGATCTATTTTTAATAGTGTTCGTCCTTTCATCAAAGCACGTCGCTGTACCGAATTTCATCAAAAAATTTAAAGAATTGCGACTTGTAGCTTAAACAGAAATTAACGCGGGCAGATATCTGTAGGACGAACGGACAGACAAACTTAGATCAATTCAGATAATGATTCTGAATCGATCGGTACAATAAAAAATGGGTTTATCTAAGCCCTTCTGTGTGTTAGATACGATCGCATTAACTTAGTATGCCACAAGTGGTCTACTTGTAATATGAAAATTTGCTAAACTGCTTTTTGCTTTTTGAGAGGAAAATAAATTAAAGGTGTCTTCGGATCCAACTTTGAGGTACCCCGTAGACATTATGAAAGAAAAAGTCGAAAGAAAACCATTGAGTATGGCGAATATAGAAAGGCCCAGGGAAGCCCGTTCGGTAGTTTAGGTGACGTCCGTCCGTGTGTTCGTTGAAGGATAAGTACATGCTGTTCTTTTACTAGCAACAGTCTGAAAAATATAGAACTCCTCCCAGACAGGAAAAACACAGACATAATCGTTATACATGTTCTATCCAGGTGTTGCAATTTCAGTCAAATTGGAGTGTCATACCAGGCAGATAGCAACGTAGACATTTAACAGTTTTCCTCCTAAAATTTAGTTGTTAAATGAAACGAATGAATCACGTAAAATTGAGCATATTAATGTAGTTGCATAAAACAATAGTTTACGCTTGTACAATTCTTTTAGTAATGTTACGGAAATCCCAAATCCAGTTTATTGCAACTAATTGCTTTTCCCAGAAAATAAATATCCGAGAGAAGCAAAAGTACAAATTCGCGTCATGCTGCTGCCAGGCGAGGAAAAAGATAAGTGGACAAGCCATGAACTTAGGTTATAGAAATTTGTTTGTAAAAATGTATATAAACAGAATATTTGCGGAAGCCACAGTCAGTCGGACAAAAAGATTTGAGTGGAAAAGGAAAGTTTAAGATAAGAATGCTCTCAAATTAAGTAAACTGTAACTCATGCTAACCGTAAAAAAATTGATTGTAAATAAAGCCACGATCTAGTGATACGAACCGTATCCAAAAAAAATTTTGTAATAATAGTTTACGAACATCATTGTGGTATATGGCAACCGTGTGAAGATATGCCCTTTCGACGAAGAAGTTTCTTTCTGCTCTGTTGTAGAAAAGGCTGCGTTTGGTTTAGATGCTTGGGTCTTGCATAAATTTGCCTATAGACCACTCGTCCGTCACTACCTACATTCTATTTGTATTCTTTATTGTTCCGGACCGTTTTAAGGTCGTTGAAGAGAGTTTTCATTCCAGGTGAGACTGCTACCCCGTATTCGTAAGGGTTAGTGGGTCTACTATTTTTCAGGGATGACGACTAAGCTGAGAGTGCCATCTCTTATCCGTACAATAAAAAAAATCGCTGTCGGTAATGTTAAGTACAGAAAGAGTGAGCGTATTACGACACTCTCTTTTATAGTCGCGAACACCATCGCTGTCCCATTACATAGATGTTTTGCCTGTATCTGTGTTACAATCTCAACACTTACTTGTACATGGGTTACACGCTTGCGCACATCTTATTATTAATGCTATCTTAGGTACAAAATCGTACGATCTGATATGTACAGAAGCCGTTAATACTTACTTAATAAGAACGATTTAATGTGCTAGCTGTTGATATGCAAGCAAGACAACAACGCTAAATGGAATATTCCGGACCATTAAGTACATGAATTTGCAAACCACGAGACCGCTAGTTTAATGCCAACTGTCGCTTATTGATAAGTAGGAACAATTTTTTATACTGATTAACAAAAATGAAAATGGTCTTTTTTAAAATTTTATTTATTTACATTAATTAAATGGTAAAAGTTCCATCCATATTCTAAATATTCTTTTAATAGCCATTTAAAATTTATTTTTTTCCTAGGCTCTCTCCTATTCGTTTTAACATTTTCATCCACTTTTAAACGCTTTTTTGTCCGAACGAATTGTTCCGAATCATCGGCATCGGCAGTACAGACCTTTTCAAAATGTTTAACCTTAGATTCCTCAATATCTTTACGTTCCAATTTAGCCCTATGCTGGGCCTCGCTCTTGCAAAGCCTTTACTTCGTCTTCCTCGCATTTGTACAAAGGCAGTTTTTTGTCGAGCAAATGTTCAATTCGTTGATAGAATTCAACTTCATATTGCGTTACAAAAGTAACTGCTTTTCCTGCTCGCACGCGCGGTGTGACCAACTCGATGTATATAACGTATAGACATTTTCTGCTCAACATCGGTACGCTCAAGGACTTTACAAAAAGCTTCAAATGAAATTTTGCCCTGACAACATAAATCGGCCTCTAGAATGGTACGTTCAGCTATACTAATCAATTGTCCTCTACTGATATTCGCTTCTGATATTTGCTCCGACCATCATAAGAAGAATGCTTAATAATTCGTCACGACTATTTACGCCGGTAATGATGCGGAGACAGTGACCGGGTAGGCGGACTTAATATTCATTCTAATCTAAAATAGAATAATAATAGGCAATTTATAAATATATCTTTGTAACATTATAATTACCTTAGGACGAGGAAGCAATCGTCTTTGATGAAATATATATTCTGCTGCGGCGTGAGCAAGGAAATAACATAAAGGAAACTTTTAATGGGGAGAGAGAAACACATTTACAATCAACGATTAGAAAATTAAGCTTTTTATAAAGAAATAGCTTTCTGTTTAAAAGCTTGATGCGATAGCGCATAACTCATAATAATGAGTATTTTTTAACAAACTTTTTCTTGCATTTAAATTGATACTCGAAAAATATTTATTTAATAATATTATGGATTATACATTGTCACAGAAAGATGTGTAGCTTTTGTTTATTTTCATTCATTTCACATTAACATCATAAATTTCAAATTTATTAAAAACAATTCTGTACTCTCTGTTTTCTGAACATGGTGGGTTTCTACTTAATGACTAAACCTTTTGTGGCTAGCAGATGTCGGCAGTAGATTTCGTTAATATACAGTCGCGAAATTCGATATCCGCTTGTTTATTGAAATCTTAGTTGATGTCACAGATATTTAAACAACTTGCAAAATCAGTTCCAATTAGTTGTGATTATCTCATCCAATTTAATACTAAAATTTATTGCAAGAAGTCACAAAAAAAAGCAAACGATTACAACGGTCTATGAGACGACAGAGAAAAATCCTGCCAGTTCGGAATCAAATTGTCGTAGTACTTTCGCGAATGTCGAGATTAATAACACAAGTACGTCTATTACCAAAGTGATTGCCTTGATTAATTTTGAAGTTCAAAAAGATTGAGAGGTCATTCAGGAAGATGTATTTGCACCGAAAACTTTCTACAGCACTAGGAACTCAATACTATGCAGATGTAATGGTATCAGTCTCTGCTTTGCAAACGTTTTAGAGAAAGCAACGTTAAGTAAAGAACCTAATAACAGAATTTTTGCCTACGCAAACAATGATCCCGTCAAAACGCATAACTTTCAAATATCTACAGAAAAGCACCAGAAATTTTTTGCTTGTGTTGGTGTTGATTCGCAAAATCTTCGATGATAGTTTTGTTTCTGTTCTGCATACATGTTCTTACAATAGTATGCAGATGTAATGTTTGCTCGGAAGAGAAAAGCTGACTGACAAAAAAAGAGATTATTCAAAGCATTTTTACTTATTAAATATTGTTTTATTTTGTAATATCGAGAAGATTTTCAGGGTGCTATCATCCTGCGCCCTAGTAATTAAAATAATATAGAAAATAATAAGAAAAAGTGTAAAAAAAGAATTTGCAAACACGTGGATAATTTCTTTACAAAATAAAAAATAGTAAATATTAAGTTTTTTTTGGATATTAAGTTGTTAATGTCACGTAAGAAGTGGAGTTCATTGCAAAAGCCACCGTTATCTAGGCCCGTATTAGGCGTTGTTGAAAGTATGGGTTTTGAATTAATGACACCTGTTCAGGTAACCTTAATACATACTCTAAATTCATTGCGATATTAAAGGAAATTTTTATATTTCTAATCAAAGGCTTCTGCTGTACCGTTACTTATGTCATGCAAAGATGTTTCTGCGGAGGCTGTGACTGGCTCAGAAAAACATTAGCCTTTTAAGTGCCTTTATTGGAAATGAAGTCGCAGGCCTAATTAGTCACTGTAGACTCCTAAAGAAATTGGCGCTATAATTATCTCACCCACAAGAGAATTGGCTTTACAAATCTCGGAGGTATTGCAAGTCTTACATTTAGCATTTACGTCAAAAACTTATAGTAGGTGGAGGCAGCATAGAAGAGGATATAAAATCTATACAGAACAAGGGGCCAACCATCACAACCAATCAGCATCTTTACTAAAAAGGTTTAAATTGGTGGGATCGTTTCATTGTATTTTGAAATAAGGTAAAAAGTCACTGGACTTGAATGGTTATGCTGTTATTGTTCCTAGCATATTTGTATTATTATTGTATTTTGTAAATTTATATTTTGTAGTAACTAAACATATTCAATAAAGTTAAAAAAAGAAAGAAAAGCAGAAATATATATGCTTTATTTATATATATATATAAATATAAACGTTTTATTTATTATTTATTGTTGCTACTAGTTGCTTTGTCAAATTGTTAATTTTTCTATCGTTTTACCAATGTTGTAATTTACGTGAAGTGAGCAAAATTGTGAATGATACATGTTCTTAGTTTAACCTTGTATTTTGGAATGTTTGTACGTAGAATAAAATTCTATCTCATGTAACGAAACAGAAATACACATAACAAAAAGGTCTAATTTTCAACGCTCCATGATGAAAGTCACACCACAGCTATAACAACAACAACTATAACGTTCTTACTTATTTTTAATTTAATAATTTTACTTCAACAATAGATGATTTATTGGGCTGTGCACAACAGGTCCAAGCACAAAGTTCTTTAAACGAGCCTTAACAAAGTTAATGGTTAACTTTGCGACCTCTCGCGTCTACGACGTAACCAAAATCATTTTATAAGAAGTTTAGTTTTTCCTGTTTTTTAATTGGCTTCTTATTTCATTTTATGGCATTTTATTTTTTTAGAAGATTTTTATTATTTTAAATATTTTGGGATTTTGTTTATTTATTGAATAATTTTAAGTTGACACAGAGCAATGAGTAACAATAGCAATTTAAGATGTGTATTAGCCTGAAGGTAGTAAGTATACATGCATATGCATTAAAGTCTCATATAGGAGTGCAGATATTTTAGACGAATAGAAGGATTTGTGAAGGAATATAGTCACTATTTGATTGAGACCATTTATATGTTCAAATTTCATTACCTTACTATTCAATATAAGTTATAAAATTTAGACGAATATTCTACTTCTGCTATCCACTTTGTTTATAACAGTCCTACTCTATAATGACAATGTATGACTACAGCCGAGAAGGTCCCAATTTAGTACAGTTAATTTTTTTATGTTATATTACTGGTATGATATAATGGAAGCATTGGAAATTACACCCTTTTATCATATGAACTTCAGTTTTCGTTATAAGTGACCAATTGCACTTATCAGTAAATGTCAGCATACAAATTTCATCAAAATGTTTAACAAATTGAAGCTTGTAAACTAAATACTTCTTAATGTGTTAGGTATTGAAAGTATGAACAGTTTCGGATGATGGCCACGATCGAGAAAGTTTATTGTCGGAAAAGAATAACGGTAAACAAGAAAATTCAAAAAGCTAATTTGATAAACAATTTCTTTTATTTTCTTGAATTGCAAAAAATTATATCCTTTTTAATATTTATTTCAAATTTCGATAGATTGAATCAAAATTGTCACCACACGTTCGAAATAGTACACATTCCAAAAGCCTTAAAAAAAATGAAATTAACACAAACGCTCAGGACAAGACCAATCCCCAGCAAATAATAGCGCTCCTTTAATCATATCGGCGGTTGTCAAAACAATAGAGTAAGTGCCGAATCGCGTTACCCATCGTATTATAATAATAGTTCACGTTTTTTGTCATTTTTTTTGCGACATAAAACGTAACGCCTCTGAATGCGTAGAAAAAGCCAATTCATCAGCCTCGATTAGTGACTTTTTCAAGAATACAATGAAAACACAACCCAAATCTGATCTGCCATATTTATTCGCCTCTGGCTCAAAGTCAAATGTTAAAATATCGCAAATCCCTTTGGTGCAAGAGTTGGAGGCTGAATGGCGTCAAAACTGTACAACTCATACTAGTCCTAACAAGGGAAACAGTATTAATAACGATGCAAAGGAACAAGATACGGAAAATATTCGAAAATTTGTTAGTCACATAGTATGTAATAAAGACGACACTCAGGGTATGTACAAGCAAACTCCTATTTGCAATGGTGAAAATCTCGCAAATTTCCTGCTTAGACAATCTTACCAAGCACCAACCAAAACCAAGCATTATGCAGTTATCAACGACGATTTACCACACATACAGCAAACACAACTTTTTTTTACAGCGCAAGCAGCAAGCTGCCCTATGCTTATCGAGGATCAACAATGCAGTAAATCCTTAATTGAGGCTTTAAGTGAAAGATGTTCAACAGAAAGACCTTCAGCAGAAACAAAAAGTGTGAATTTCTCGCCGGTGGTTACAAACTTATTCCTTATAATGAATACATCTCTTTTTACAACAGAGCAGGTTGTAACTATGCTCCAATGCAAGAAAAGAAAATTGCATGTAAAAACTTCGAAGTTTATGATATCTCCTAAAACGAACTCGTTACTCTCTCAAATATGGCGCAATCTAGGTATAATAACTCTGCAATTTCCTTGAATGGCGTTATATATTCTCTAAGTGGATGCGTTTGAAATTGTACAGAATTGACTTTAATGTGCATACTCAGATGAGGATACAGGCGGGCAGACATGAAACAGGCAAAGAAGTTATCAATTTACTGATCAATTCAATTCTTTAAGTCTGGATGAATTTCTTCGCGATATTAATAAAAACAAAAGTTCGTAAAGATAATTTAAAAATTTTTTTTATTTTTTGAGATATAGAAAACGAATGAACTAAGGCAACGAAATACGTCTCGTATACGTATACACGTTTAGACTGATAGCAATTTTAAATTTCAACGCAAAATAATGAGTGTACAAGAGACATTCTATATGTTGTAAGGAAGCGATTTTGCTTTCTTACGGAATGCAAGTCCGTCCGCCTGAAATAGCTACCCACAGCGAACCAACTGTCAGTCCGAGCTGTCCGTAAACCTCTGTCTGGGGTAATAAAGCATGAACAACCTCCTCCAGCATAAGTCAAGAACTCAAATGTAAAAAAAAAAAAACTTAGATTCAAGAAATCAATATGTATACAAGCATAAGTCAAGAACTCAGATTTAAAAAAAAAGTTAGATTCAAGAAATCAATATGTATACAAGCATAAGCGAAGAACCCAAATGTATAAAAGCTTAGATTCAAAATCGCAAAATGTTTAATAACAGGATTAAGAACTCAAATGTAGGAAAGGCTAAGTAAAAAAACTTAAAAGTATAAACACAAGTAAGAACTCAAAATGTTTAATAACAGAATTAAGAACTCAAATGTATGAAAGACTAAGTAAAAACTCAAAAGTATAAACGCAAGCAAAAACTCAAAGTGTTAAAAGCAGAGTTAAGAACTTAAATGTATAAAAGGAGAAGTGGAAAAACTCAAATGCATAAAACTATAAGTAAAAAAAACGCAAAATATCCAAAAGTATAAGGAAAAAAACCCACAATGTACAAAAACAAGAGTTGAGAACTCAAATGTAGAAAGCATAGGTCTAAGAACCCTATCTGTATTAAAACATAAATATAAGAACACAACCCGACTTATACAATTAAGTAAAATCCAATCGGTATGAATGCAGTAGGATACACGTACACTCACATGAGCTCAAACATACACAGAAGCTACAGCAGCATTGCACAAAGGTATAGCGCCGTTAGGTCACATTGAATCTTCAAATAATGGACAAAGCTGATAGCACCGTTAGGGCAAACAAAACATGCAGAACTGACCTTAGGTAGAAAATCTATACATGCAAAACCAACAAACTTCAGCAAGAATCTCTATGTTGTAAAATGCGCAGAATGTGTAGGGTATACCAAACTTACAGGAGTAAGTATTTAGGTAGAAAAAATAAGAACATACGACAATGCATAAACTGCATACATAAAATGTACAAAGACACGATCACACATGCCAAGCATGTAGAAACACACAAAGCAAAGCATATGCAAACACAAAGGCATAGGAAAGCACAAGCACTCACGTACCTAACGGTGATCAGGCTATAAAAGAACAGCGCGTCACACAGAATCGTTCAGTTTGGTGTCACAGCCGTCTAAGGTAAGTGCCCACGGACAAATTGACGAGTTGACCTTTATAAAGAGTTTTTTTGACTTACGGATAGGGGATGTGCTGGTTCAGCTTAATCGCCATCCCTGAAGGACCTTTAGGACTACCGATTGACGGATAGGGGATGTGCTGGTTCAGCTCAATCGCAATCCCTGGAGGACTTTTAGGACTACCGACTGACGGATAGGGGATGTGCTGGTTCAGCTTAATCGCCATCCCTAAAAGGACCTTTAGGACTACCGACTGACGGATAGGGGTTGTGCTGGTTCAGCTTAATCGCCATCCCTGAAGGACTGAGGGGGGGAACATCCTTTTATTTTTACATACGAAGGACCATCCAGAGACGAACTGGCGGCCCAGGCAGCTATGACACTGGTAACGTTTCCGCTTTTCTTGTAGTGTTCCGCGATCGTTAAAAGAAAACAAAGTAATAATAAATATAAATAAATCTCGTACCACGTGGAAGTCACACCACAAGTCGGGTCACCTCGCTGGTTCCTTGCCATAGCCAGCTTCTACACATCGCTGTACCCCGCTTAATATACAATAAAGGAAATTTTACGTTCTAAATAAATATTCTTGCAACGAACCCCGGATTGACTGAGTTCTACCCCGGATAAGAAGACTCGTTACAATGTGTCAAACAAGATTTTCTGTCTTCTACTGTCGTTTTTTTTTTCTGATTTGTTCAAGTAGGAAAAGACTGATAAACGTTTCAAGAAGGACTATGAGAACGAATGGACAGCATGCAGAAGCAATTGATTTCAATTGTTACAGATTTGAACTAGAAGTCGTGGGCGTTTTTGCAATTTTAGTTTAACAAATTGATATTGACAACCGCTTTGAACTTTCCACGAACCCAGGCGAAGACAGAGGAAGAGAAACAAAGATCAAAACAGCCGATCGAATTTTCTTACAGCTAAAATAAATTGCTTACATATTTCTGCGCATACACTTGGTTTATTCTGTTCAAAATAAACATAATTATATTACGATATTCCTAATAATATTATATATCATACATGATGTAGAATTGTAGATGTAAAAT